CCGGTTCCACCCATTGAGCCCACGAAGACCGGGACCGCCAGAGCCCGGGACCACGAAGCCCGGGACCGCGAGGCCCGGCCCGTTAGGCCCACTAAGGCCCGGGCCCGGGACAAAATACAGCATTACTGTAAGCCCTACTGGAGCTCCAATTTGAGCTGTAGTTTAAATCATAGTAAAAAATTGTGGGTTAAATTTAGATATTTGAGGAATTTGGGCAGACGGAGTCCACTCATTTTACGTTGGAGCTTCACTAACGATAAGGTCATATACAAGATGATTAACAACTTGTTTCGATGGTTGTTATGTATCGTTTCATAATGTATCGTATCATACTGTATTGTATTGTATCGTTTGATAAATACAATGTTTGGATAGACTTATGTTGTTTGTCATTGTTTCATGATATCACACTGTGATGACCCGGCTAGTCATCTCATGAGTTACCGCGCCGTTTCTCCCATTTCTGCTTCTTACTGCTTTGTCTATTGGTTCTATATGTGATCGGGTTGGTTGACTCGGGTTCGGAAAGGATTTGGTAAGGTTTGAGACACTTAGTCTCTTTTGAGGAAACTTAAGTTGGAAAAGTCAACCGGATGTTGACTTCTGTGTTAGAGGGCTCAGATGTGAGTTTTAATGGTTTGGATAGCTTCGGGAGGTGATTTGGGACTTAGGAGCGTGATCGGAATGTGTTTTAGAGGTCCGGAGTAGATTTAGGCTTGAATTGGTGAAATTGAATTTTTGGCGGTTTTCCAGTTGATAGGTGAGATTTTGATATAGGGGTCGAAATAGAATTCTGAGAGTTGCAGTGGTAACGTTGTGTCATTTGGGATGTGTGTACAAAATTTTAGGTCATTCGGGCGTGGTTTGATTGGGTTTTTGATCAAAAGCGTAATTTAGAGGATTTTGGAATTCTTAGGCTTGAATCCAATGCGAATTTGGTGTTTTGAGCATTTCGAAGGTTGGAACAAGTTTGAATGATGTTATGGGATATGTTGGCATGTTTGCTTAAGGTCCCAGGAGCCTCGGGTGAGTTTCGGGTGGTCAATCGGACCATTTCCTGTTGTTGAGAATTGCAGAAAAACTGTTGAGTATTGCAGAGAAATTTGACATTCGCGTTCGCGAACAGGTCCTCGCGTTGGCAAAGGGTTAGTTGGTGAAGGCTGAGATTTTAGCCTTCGCGTTCGCGAGGAAGGCTCCGCGTTCGCGAAGGGCTGGGTGATTATGCATCGCGTTCGCGAGAAGGGGAACACTTTCGCGTAGAGGAAGTTGGGCAGCTGGGTTTCAAAGTGTTTTGTTCATCGCGTTCGCGAGAGGGTGAGCGCATTCGCGAAGGGTTAGGCGGTGGAACCATCGCATTCACGAGTGGCAGGACGCGATCGCGAAGAAGAATTTTTGGTCAAAGTTGGTTTGTGCTTTGTGAACGCGAGGCGTTGACCGTGTTCGCGAAGAATGAATTGAGGCCTGGGCAGAATGTTTAAATAGTCGTCTTGTCCGCGATTTTGGGGTTTATTTTCACCATTTTTGAGCGATTTTGGAGCTTTTTGAAGAGGATTGAAGAGGATTTAAGGGGAAACACTTGGAGGTAAGATTCATGGACTTAATACTCGATTCTAATGTGAATTCTACCTAATTAATAATGGAAATTTAAGCAAAACAATTGAAGAACTAGGGCTTAATGGGATTTGAGGGGTCGTTTGTGGTTGGATTTTGATGCTTTTGGTATGAATAAACTCGGGGAGTCATAAGGAATCCATTGATGTGATTTTTATCGAAATCCGAGACGTGGGCTCGGGGGTCGGGTTTGGCCAATTTCGGGATTTGTGTTATAATTTGATTATTTTCGTGTGGACTTCGATCCTTTAGCGTATTCTAATGTTATAATTCTGATTTTGGGTAGATTCGGCGCGAGTTGAGGCCGATGAGAGAGGCAAAGGTGTCGCGAAGTCGTATTTTCATCCGGTTTGAGGTTAGTAACCATTGTAAATCTGGAACTGAGGGTACAAACCCCGATATTTCGAATTGTGTTGATAAATGAGGTAACACACATGCTAGGTGATGAGCGTGTGGGCATGTACCGGTAGGGATTGTGACTTGGTCCATCCCGTAACGACTATTACGCCGCGTATTTGATTTTAAATCTTATAATATTCCGTATTTTAGACATTTACAATGTATTATGGGTTGTACGCCATGTTTGGGGCCTTCTGCCGACCTGTTGAGATCCTTAGGGGCATTTTTACTGTGTTTCCTCACTCTATTTGTTTGAAAGCATATCCTCAGTCATGTTTTACCTGTTTATTGTTTAAAAACTGGTTTTATCACTGTACTTCTTAAAATGTGAGAAATGTTCTGACTGAGTTCCCTGATTCCTACTGTTATGCCTGAGCGTCTGTAAGGTTAATGACTGAGAGAGGTTGAGGACCTAATGGTGAGGATATATGTATATATATATATCTGCACGCCACAACGATACTTATATGGATCGGGCTGCACGCTGTAGCAATATATATATTGGATCGGCTTGCACGCCGCAGCGATATGATGCTTGGTCTGTAGGAGCCCCTCCGGAGTCTGTACACCCCCAATGAGCGTAGTCGACTATAAACTATGGATCGGGCTGCACGCCGTAGCGGTTACTATGATTATTACTATTATGAGATATTATTGAGCCTGAGTGCTGAGAGTGAGTACTGAGTGACTGAGAGGCTGCCCGAGAGGCCATATTCTGAGTGATACCTTGCCCGAGGGGCCCATTTATGATATTTTTACTGATTTCACCATTCTTTTAAAATGAAGCCTCTGTTGAAAAATTGTTAAGTAAATGATTTCAAGTATTCCAATTGAAACTGAAGATTTTATGACGAGACTATTTTTTAAACTGTGGAGTTTGATATGTTCTTCTGTTGTTTACTCCTTTATATGATTTTAACTGCTCGTCACTGCTTTTCAGACCTTATTTACTTTAGTTACTTACTGAGTTGGCGTACTCACTTTACTCCCTGCACCTTGTGTGCAAATCCAGGTGCCCGAGCGGCAGGGTGAGGGTCCTCAACATTATTAGAGTTTGCCAGAGATTGCAAGGTAGATGCATGACGTCCGCAACCCTGATTTCCTCCTTCCTATCTTGTTCTTTTCTGCATTTTAGACTTATGATGTATTTGACAGTCGGTTGTATATTTAGAGGCTCTAGACTCGTGACACCAGATGTTTGGGCTGTGTTGTTTTAATGTTTTATTGATTTCTGCACATTTTTAGTTGTTTTAAACACTTCTTATGAAAATTGTTATTTAAACCCGTGTTAGAAAAATGGTTTTATAAAAGGAATTCGTTGTGGTTATATGGTTAGTTTGGCTTGCCTAGTAATGTGATAGGCGCCATTACGATCGGGCATTTGGGGTCGTGACAAGTTGGTATCAGAGCCTAGGTTAC